TATATTATGTTATTCCATATTCAATTAGAAAGTAATAAAATTTTGTTAATTAAGTCCCAACTTAGGATGATGAAATTGACTATTTCAAAATTATATTCATATTTGTAGGGGTGAACATTTGACCGAACGCACCGAAAACCGAATATTTAAGATTTTTTCACCGAACTGCACCGCAACAGAAGGAATAACCGAACCGAAACAGTGCAGTTTTTTTGGTTAACTAAAATTTTAAAAGGATAATCACGGTGAAAATTAGGACAAGAAGAATAGAAATAAAAATTTTTAATTTTAAGTTTTAAATGTAAATGTTGATGTGATGTTGTGTCCAAATTTTTACTCACAAATAAGTAAACGTGTAAAACTAAAGTGACACTTTATGATGTTTTGTGTGGTTCGGTTAAAATTGCACCAACCGAACCGTACCGAAATATTTGCGGTTTTCTAAAACTCAAACCGCATTGTTAACCGAACTATTAAAAAACCGCACAGAATATTTCGGTTCGGTTTTTCGATTTTAGCTCGATTTTGCTCACTCCTACATATTTGCATGTCTTTTTCAGTTTTTCTATTGTGTGGCTGATACATGTAAAATGAAATTAGAATATACAAGTGAGAAAATAATTTAAAGAAAAAATTCTATAGGTACATAATATTGTACTTTGGATGTACATAACATTCACATTGAGTCATATCCACGAAAAATAAAAAAATCAAATAGACTCCATTCCATGTACGTACATTTGTTACGTACTTGTAGCACTTTTTTAATTTAAAACAAAAAATGCCATAAAGTGACTTCTCAACTTGAACTTGTTTACAGACGTGACATCAAGGCCAACTCGACCATTAAATCCGGTTCTCTGCCCAGATGGACCAGCAAAGAGGCAAAGATACATTAACTAAGCCTGCAAATATTTAATAAATTACAGATAATAAATAAATAGTGCTCATATTTAAATTTCAGATTCAAACCATACTATCAATTAATCCCCCAAGAAAAAAGGAAAAAAAAAAAAAAACTGATCTCGTGACAATGCATGCATATCAAAATTGATTTCATTTAAACTCATTCCATAAAATAGTATTTTCATGGATTTTGAAAATTGATCAATTTAAAAGTAATATTGACCAAAATTACCATTTGAAAACTTATCATCATGCTTGCGTATTCCATTGAAATTTTACTAACTTCGGACATTTCCAAAATTATCCTCAAATTGATGGGTTGTGTAAATATCAAGACTACTATAATAGCAAGACTGCTATTTTTTTTAATTAGCTTTTGAAATAAAATAAATAAAATTTATTTGATTTAAAAGTAATAGATAAATAATTAAAAATGATAGATAATTAAAATTATTATTAAATAAATAATAGATTAAAATTTGTTATGATGTGTAAAAAATAGTGGATTGATATTTTTAATTATATTAATAATATTTAAATCAATAGAAATGAATTAAAATGAGTTAGATTTTGAGTTCAATTATTTATTTATTTATTTATTTATTTTTGTAAATTAATAAAGAAGGCTAAAAATCACAATCAACAAAAGTTGGCCCAAGCGATAAGCAGTTTGATGCTGCTTAAGCAAAATTTCGGGTTCGAGTCCTTGTGAATGTTAAAAATTCTTGTTGGGAGATTCACCCACTACTCTTAGGTGTGCGACACTGGTGGATCAACCGGTTAGTTAGAGCATAGCTCCATATCTGCTAAAAAAAAGGAAGGCCTATAATCACAAACGACAAAATATATACCATTATATATATATAAAGGTATATATATATATATATACCATTATCTGAACTGGAAGAGACAAAATTCTGAGCAATTTTTGTGTTTTTCGAGAAATGTCTGTGATGAGCCTAAATTGTAGAAACCTCCGCCCAAAAAGAACACAAAAAAAAACATTGAACCTTAAACAATTTTATCATATGTCCAAAAATCTGGCCTGCCGGCCGGCCGACAAATGCAAGGTAGACTTGCCATTTTAACATACCAACAAATTAAATCCCTAACTCATAATTCCTTTTCCAGTTACCAATTTTAGAGGTGAAACCATCAAATTCAACTTTATATCGTGTGGGCCACCCTAACATTTATAATATAGAGAAAATACTACGGTCACGTTACGGTATCATCTCGTCTGGTGTTTTAACAGTTGGATTTACGTGTAGTTGGATAAAATAGATGATCCAACAGTTAAAACACCTGACTAAATAGTACCGTAATGAGACCGTGGTATTTCCCTATAATATAATTAAATTTTAGTTATTACAAATTTTAGAGTAGAAATCCATCAATTTCAAGCTTATTACGAAGTTTAGAGTAGAAATTATCAATCATAACTTTCGCTTGCGAAGCGTGCTCTGCCATTAGATATCTCAATTTGCTTATTACAAAATCTAAAATAAAAATCAATCAGTTTTATCTCTCTTGCGAAGCGTCTGCGATCTCAACTTTGCTTATTACAGAATTTAATGTAAAAATCATCAATTTTATATCTCTATCTCTCTCGCGACGCGTGCTCTGCGACTAGAGATATCGATTTTGGTCATTACAAAAATTTGAGTAGAAATCATCAATTTTAACTTTTTCTTACCAAGCGTACGTGCTCTACGATTAGAGATCTCGACTTTGTTTATTATAGAATTTAGAGTAGAAATCATCAAGTTTAACTTTCTCTTGCGAAGGACGCTCTGCAATTACAGATATTGATTTTAGTCATTACAAAATTTTGAGTAGAAATCATCAATTTTAACTTTTTTGTACGAAGCGTACGTGCTCTGCAATTAGAGATCTCGACTTTGCATATTACACAATTTTGAGTAGAAATCATCAATTTTAACTTTCTCTTGCGAAGAATGCTCTGCGATTAGAGATCTCGAGTTTGCTTATTACAAAATTTGGAGTAAAAATCATGTGAATCATATACATGAATTATGTTGTACAAGTTCCTCCCAATCATCACAAAAACACAAACCCAAAAAGGTCAAGAAACAAATTAAAAAAAAAAAGGAAAAAAAAAAAGAAAGAAAGAAAGAAAATGTGGTCAACTCCAATCACCAAAGTATCAATATGATCATAAAAATTATACACCTCCCAAGTGCATGCACCCAAAAAAAGTAAAATTAAATTAAATTAAATTAAGCACCCCTACACCCTCCACACCCTATATATACCCATCCATTCCCAACTTTATTCTCTCACACTCTCACTCAAATCACCCCCCAAAATATCCTCTCTCAAGTCACTGCGAAAAACACACACAAAACACAGAACAAATTCTTTTTTTGAACAAAAAAAAAAACACAAAGTACTCAAATGGCTCCTCAATCATCCCTATCAATAATCTCAAAAACCACCGTCTATCCCGACAAGAAGTCCACCCTAGGCTCCCTGCGCCTCTCCGTATCCGATCTTCCCATGCTCTCCTGCCACTACATCCAGAAAGGTGTCCTCCTCCCTTCCCCTCCCTTCTCCCCCTCCGCCCTCGCCGCCCGCCTCCGCTCCGCCCTCTCCGCCGCCCTCTCCCACTTTCCCCCCCTCGCCGGCCGCCTCTTCACCGACCCCGACGACGCCTCCGTCCACATCCTCTGCAACGACGCCGGCGCCGAGTTCCTCCACGCAGACGCCTCCCACCTCCGCTCCGCCGACCTCCTCGGCCCCCCCTGCTCCGACGTCCCCCCCGCCGTCCGCCTCCTCTTCCCCCTTGACGGCGCCGTCAGCTACTCCGGCCACCGCTCCCCACTCCTCTCCGTCCAGCTCACCCACCTCGCGGACGGCGCCGTCTTCATCTCCTGCGCCGCCAACCACGCCGTCACCGACGGCACCTCCTTCTGGAACTTCTTTAACGCCTTCGCCCACCTCTCCGCCTCCGGCCCGTCGTCCGGCCTCCTCCTATCCCTCTCCCCGGACTTCTCCCGCGGGCCCCCTTTACTCTCCCCCGCAGTCCTCCGATTCCCCGCCGGCGGACCCGCCGTCTCCTTCTCCCCCGACGCCCCCCTCCGGGAACGCATTTTCAGCTTCACCCGCAAGTCAATCCTCAAGCTAAAGTTAACGGTCAACGCATCGGTCAACTTCGCCGAGCTCATGGGTAAGCAGAGGAACGACACACCCGACCGGAAGCCGACTCTGACGGAATCCGTTCGGGAGATCTCGTCATTCCAGTCGCTCTGCGGTCTAGTCTGGCGCGGGATAACGCGGGCCCGAAAGCTAGACCCGGCCCAAAAAACGACATTCCGAATGGCGGTTAACTGTCGTGGGCGGGTCGAACCAAGGCTCAACCCGCTCTACTTCGGGAACGCTATCCAGAGCATCGCGACTGAGGCGGCCGCGGGAGACGTGGTCGGGCTCGGGCCAGGCCCGCGGTGGTGCGCGGAGCGGCTCGGGATGGGTGTGGCGGCGTATGGGGACAAAG